TACTTTGGAGCCATTTCCATCAACCGGGGACTAAAATAATAATCGCTGACAAGCAGTTCCGTGTCTCGACTCCAACATCTAACGCTGGCCCCTCCACGTGGAGGTCCCTCCCGTACCCACACTGACACTGGGGGCACCGAACGGGGCACTTGAAAGGCAAGTGCGATTCAGTCATGTACTTGGCATGTCCGTGTGACATGCCACAAAGGTCTTTGTGAGATTTACATTTTGTATTACCAAGGTATAACTAAGTGTCTAATTAAATACCACAAATGCAATAAAGACTTAACATGCTTTTTGACCACACTCAGTGATTTTTTGGACCAGATTTGAAGACTGGGTGGGTGCGAGCGGCAAGTGATGCCGAGCGAAGTCTTGAAGCTGTCTTGATGGAGCCATGACAGCCGACGCAAGGAGATCCACAGTTCTTTGATGCTTGCCGTCGCATTCGGCCGGGCCTGCACGCCACGCACGTCACAGTCCCGCCCGAACCCGACGTCACGCAGCTGCGCTCCTCGCGCTCAACCCACACCACGGAGCCAGCCACCCCGTACCCATCCCATGCCGTGCATGGCACCGCCTCCCGGCACACCTTTGTCGACACACGGCTTCACCCGCATGTCACCTTTGTCGACACAAGATCCCACCCGCACGCCGCCTTTGTTGGTACACGGCCCCACCCCCACGACACCTTTGTCGGCACACACTTATCCCTGCACATTGTCTTTATCGACATACGGCCCCACCCGCACGTCGTCTGTGCGCCGCCTTTGTCGGGTACACACGTGGACTTGACACCGGCTTTATCTAATATTCTTGGCGTGACCCGCCATCATCAGTCCTTTGTTCCCTGCGCGAGCTTGATAGGTAGAATTTCAGTGAAGATTTCCTCACTTTATAGGTACCGATTGACTTGGTTAAGATTTCCGAGACATCCTATCTATTTAGACGATTCACAAAATGTCGCAGAGTGTCCAACGAGTACAAACTTTCTGTCTCCGAGACAATTTCGGCTATGTTTGATGGGATTCCACGATGTCTGGACCCCGATCAGTGGCGGTGCCATGCACGGCGTGGGTGGCTCCGTGGTGTGGGTTGAGTGCGAGGCGGGCAGCTGCGTGACGTCGGTTTTGGGCGGGACCGTGACGTGCGTGGTGTGCAGGCCCTGCCGAATGCGACGGCAAGCATCAAAGAACCGTGGATCCAGGTCGTCACATAGGCGCGGCTCCTTGCGTCGGCTGTCATGGCTCCATCAAGACTTCGCTCGGCATTATTCGCCGCTCGCACCCACCCAGTCTTCAAATCCGGTCCAAAAAATCACTGAGTGTGGTCAAAAAGCACATTAAGTCTTTATTGCATTTGTGGTATTTAATTAGACACTTAGTTATACCTTGGTAATACAAAATGTAAATCTCACAAAGACCTTTGTGGCATGTCACACGGACATGCTGAGTACATGACTGAATCGCACTTGCCTTTCAAGTGCCCCGTTCGGTGCCCCCAGTGTGACAGATGTGACCGTGTCCCGAGTTATCTGAATTTAAGGCACCGCAGCAGAACAGCATCCGTAGATAAGGATGGTTGGAGGTAGGTTTTGCCAGTCTTTATTTGTTCTCGGCGTCAAGGTGTTCTGGCGCACAAAATTCGTATCCTGGCATTGAAGTGGGAGTGAATGTCAATGAATCTGTTTCCACAGGATCTGCCACGGAGGTCAACTTGTGCGAGAAGTTTTTCGCACCATCCCCGCGAGCCCTCGAAGTTCTCAACGATCTGCATTGTCTCGCTAATGGCGAGCCGGTAACCCAGGGCCCTATGCAGATCGCTGTCGGTGCGTTGAAACATATATAACATTGACACCAACGACATGTAGAATGTAACCCCCTCATGGGCGCTGGGCGCTAGGCGCATTTCTTTTAGGAAGTAACCTAACTTCCCGCTTTTGCTCTTCGCGGCCTCGGTACATTGTCCTCCATGAAAACTCGGAATCCTTCGTAGCGCGAACTGACGTCGCGCTATAGTGCATGCGTCCCGGTCTCTCACTCCCTCGAAGAATCATGCTTTGGAAATCCCGTCGTCAAAGTCCCTCTCAATCTGCGCACAAAATCGAACCTCGTTGTGGATCTCGGAATTCCTATCGGCCCAAATCAACCAGACTAATCTGAGTTCTGCCGAGTTCCGATGTGCGCCCACTACGCCGGCAACGGATCATGCATCTTCGGTCAAGCTCGAGCCGATGAATTGGGTGAAAGAATATGCGGGATGAAACCGTCTCTGATTTACACACAGATGACAGCATGCATTCATGAACACGGAAACCTTCGACCTCAACCGCCCGTGGATGCTCCGCGCAGCGACGAGAGCGGGTTTTCCCAGAACAAGCCGAAGCGGTGTTGAATCTTTCCGCCTTTCCGAAAGAACCCATCAAAGATGGAAGCTGGGTCTACGTTACAATGGTTTGCTAGGCCCCCGGACACTACCTATAATACCTGTCCGGGAAATTTCGTGGATTTCGGCTGTTTTACTCTATATTTTGACGGTAATATGGCCCTGGAAGCCGCAAAAAAAACGATTTTTGCCCCCTCACCATGTAGATGTCTTAGTTTGGTCGTTGCGCATCGCTCCTGAGGGTTCAAAAGTTCTGGCGGTCGCTGGTTCAGAAAAAATACCCCTGAAAACCTGTCGTTGTTTTACTCTATGCCCGGACAGGTATTATAGGTAGTGTCCGGGGGCCTGGTTTGCTTCGCAACAATCCACGGCCAGGCGGCCGGCGGCCTAACCTGATCTAGCCAAAGCAGTGCATGCTATCTGTCTTTCCAAAAGACTCCGTCAGAGAAGGAAATATTCTTGTTTCGGAACCCTGACATGATGGTTCACTTCACAGCTTTCCACATGGCGCTGGACTTTATTCCCAAAGTTCTGGCTTCCACAGTTCCGAAACGGTCTGCGCACTGAGGCTACGGTAACATCGTTTAGCGTCTCAATCATGACTCGTCCTTCCGAGTCACTTTTCAGGTGAGAATATCCCCGACTCCCTTGTGTTTGGCCTATAAGCGCCGTCGTTTGACGCCCTTGAAATCAATGGTTTTGTTCTGCACAGATGTCCATTACCAGTCCTGCTGAAGGAGTTGACTTCGGTGCCTGACGAAGTCGCTTGAAGTTTTGTTTCTTTTGATCGCAGTCCCTCTGTTCCTTTGGTGAGTCTCAGACACATAGTATGGCCTTCATTCACTCCCTGAAACCGTGTATTAATGACATGAAATCTACCAAATAAGTCCACTGGATTGTCGTCTTTCGCATCAACTTCAATGATCTTTCTTCCGTCTGTGTAACTTCTTCTCCTCAGTCTTCGACGCCGCGCGGTGTTCCTAAGCCGGGATCATCAACATGAAGGTACTCCGCTCAGCTCTTTGCGCTTACCATAACTCGTCCGCCGGACGACGAAAGAATCACGGCGGGCTGTTTGGCTGCGCCCGTGTCTCCCGCCATCTTCGATCCCGCATGTTGCGGAGAGCGTGCGACATAATTCACCGGCGGCAGCGCGGTGCGTTGGGGCGGAGGCAAATCTTGCTTCGTGCCCTTAGACTGCCGATGGCGAGCAGGCGCCGTCGTACTCCGCACCACGACCGGCACCTTATGACTAGTGCTCTCTGTGGTGGGAGTGTGTCGCTCAAGAGGGGGCGTGAAATGCGGCGCGTCATTGGCCGTATCGCGCAGCCAGTCTAACACGCGGTGGTGTTGTGCGGGGCTGTTCCCAGGCGGCCTCGACGACGCTACCCTTGGGGTGGTCCGATTCAGCACTGAAGCGGCCTCTGCGTCGCTCGCCTCGCTCTCTTCTGGGCTTCCCCACACCGCAGGTGCGTATCCATACCCGGGCGGAAGCAAACTCATCTCTTGACGTCGCTGCGACTGTGGTTTGGAGGTTCGGTCTCCTGCAGAACTGGGGAGATCGTGCGGGGCTCGGAGGGCGGTGGGCGAATTGCGCTGCATGGTAAGGCTGACGGTGGTTGTAGACACGATGCAAGGCGCTTGCGCGGCGGGGCGCTCCAATTAAAAGGCGACCTGTGATGCAATCTATACTTGCCTTGAAAGCTGTGGACACGCAGTCTCGCAAGCAGGCCAAGATGTTACACCTGCTGTTGAACGGAAATTGGAACCACTTATTTCACTCTACTTATTTGTATGTTCATCTGTTCACTGGTAGCACATGGAAGACGGTGGGCGCTGTGATTATGCCGCTTCGCAGAGGCAAATTTCCGTGAAGCGTCCACCCTTCGACGTCATATACCGATAACGCTGCTCTAACGATGGGCGTCTACGCAGGGAATATCAGTGGCGCTGGCAGATCGATACTCCAACAGTCTGTTTGGATTCCCGACTATTTACAGCGAATAGACTCTTAGCAGCTTTTCGCACGGGCCTCAATGGTGACCCCGTGAGCGCTCGGAGGATTGCACATCCAGGTCTTATCTCAATTCACAAACTCGGCCGCTGTCTTGTTTTTCAACCTCACCAACGCTGATCGATGCCCCCCTGATATTCCTCGGTTCAATTTTCTCTTCTCCCTCTAATCGCCACAACTAGGGTTGTTCTCAGAGGCCATCTTTCCTTACATTTCCGTCTCTTTTCAAGCTCACTCCGGATCAGATCTATCAGACGCCACTTTAAATTCTTACTGACCCAAATTGGTCAGTTTGATGCGAGGGCAAACAAACAACACAGCCGTCCAACAGCCGTCGTATCCTGCTGTATTCGTGTTCCGCCCCCAGCGCGAGGTGCGGCGTGAGGCACGACTCGCCCGCGTCTTCGCCCACCATCTGCAGCGTGCCGTCCACCGCCCCCGCGCACACCACCGCTTCTCTCCCTCCCGCTGTGCTTCGGGCTAGAAACCTCCAACCTCGGACGCCTTGGTTGTCACGTCGTATAAAGGCCACAGTGTTGGGAAAGGACCGTCTCAAAAGATGAAAAGATGGAAAAAATAGGAAAAATAGGAAAAAAGAAGATAGCAGCAACTCGTTTCGATCGAGTGACCTCGGGGTGACCTGGTGCGCAGCTATACATATGGGCCCCGCGCGCTTCCAGACTGCGCCATGCTGCTTCCAAACCATGCGTTGCTGTTGAGAAGCACCTGGCGACATTTGACTTGTCACGTATCTTAAGAGCTGGGAGCCGATGCTGCCACGCAAGTTGACTTGCACGTAAGTGTTAGAGAAACGGGTATCGCGTGCTATGCGATAACCTTGAACGGATTGGTGTTACTGAATGTAATACCTATCCAAAGGGAATATATGACTTATATTCAGGTTCAAATACTGGAACCTTTATATAATCAGTCAAACACAAGCTTTCACCATTGAAGTCTCAGATTTAAACCAGAGCTAGCGTCGTAGTTCAATATAAGGCCGCTGTCAAAGCTTAACGAAGGATGAGCGCTGTTGGCCCGAAGTAATATTCACACAGTAGTGGAAATATGCACGCAAGATAGCGCGGAAGAGTGAAAGTTCACGGTAGTTGATTGTAAGTAAGAGATGATCATTTACAGGAGGAGGACAGGCCTCTTATATACTGCTAGCTACTGAATGAGTCATAATCCAATGACTCACACTGAATGCAAATGACTCCATGACCGAGGGATGCCCGAAGCCATGCCCGAATCATGCCCGAAGCAGTATTTGACTCGAGTTACAATGCAGTGTTGAACCGTGGGAGATAAATACTAAATACGAGGCATGTAGGCTACGTTCCAAGTAAAATGATGGCCTACAAGCCCAAAAGTGCCAATATCCATCACAGTAAGCTTACTCGACACAGTGTTGAGTTTTCGACCGAGGAGGGCCACACAGCAGCTGCCCCAAATTTTGTAACCTGCTACCCTCCTCGAAATAGTACAGTAACACCCTTTCTTTTACCACTGGAGATTATCGTAGAGTAACTCTACGATATTCTCACCAGCTTTCGCGGTCTTCAAAATCCACCATTCATGCGCTCTTTCCTCGCTACAAAGCAAGTCAAAATGTAGTACTTGAGGTCCGAATTCTGAATCAGGCTTCGTACTTACTACACGGGGTCGTTATCGCCTCGCTTATATGCTCCGACTCGGCGATATATATCAATTTACACGCTATTCATTGCCCCACCGTCAGGCCGCTGGCGCTGGGTCGAGGAAAACAACAACGTGTCTACAATTGAAATCTGGAACTCCGCTTGGACGCCTCCTGTTATGCGCTGGGATTCTCACTACCATTCCACTATTAACTATTAGACTCCACAACCCCGGATATGGCTTGCACGAGCATGACTTCATTTAGGCTTCGGAAACCGTACCAGAGCTCTGTGGATACGCTCGAAATCGACTGTGGACATGGTGATTCTCTTTATTGCAGAGCGGTGCGACGCTTAGGACTGGTGCCGACTTTTCCGGCTGCAATCGTAGCCCTGGTCATTAACATTGGTGCGCGACGGTCAACTTCTTGGCACTATATTTTGTGTCCATGGCAATACTCATCGACGCCAGGAATCTCTCTCTGAATTCATCCCCACAATCACAGCGCAAAACCAATGGGTGTCAGCATATAACTTGGCCTCGTCCTCGTTCTTCCAGTACGGACAGGCTTGAACGTGCTTCGAATCGTCCCTCTCTTCCAATCGCTTGGCACTTATACAATCAGCGTATGCGGCTAGATATGAATCTCTCCAGCTTTTCAGCCCTCATCCCCAGTGAAAAGACCTCAAGTACGCCGAAAACGGCCCGAATCTACGGAAATATGCCCAACTTCGGCAAACATCTGCTTGAATCTGCCGGGATCTGTCGACAACAGACATGTTCAAAATCGTGTTTTCTGTCATTTTTCAGCTGCACGACTCGGCAGAATGGAACTCAGTTTGAAAGTTTTTGCAGTTGGGAAGGCCGCGTTCGTCGCCTCGCGCACGGACCAGGTTAGACGGGGAATCAGTCGGAGTTTGAAACACTTCTTGCTTCCTACCACTATCCCCGTCTCTCCCGCGCCCGGCCGCTCTTTTCTTACCGCGTTCCTATCTCGCTATGCTCCTTGGCCTGAGTTTCCCCCGTTATCTACCCTGGTCCTCCGAATCAGTTCCTTGCGCAGTGAAACGAAGACATCCACGAAAACCGACGTGATCACTTGGGCCCCAACGCGTTTTTCATGCTGTAGGCTGACTTTTTCACTCCTTTCCCAACTGTCTGACGCGTAGTGAACGAGAGGAGGTGAGTACCAAATGCATCGATCCAAATTCTCCGCACTCCATGCCACCGTGATAGTTCTGGCGCATCCCGATGATGTTATGTAACGACGTCCAAAATCGACTGCCCTTGGTCTGCTGTCTCCTCGACTTTGACCATCCACATCAAGGCTTGCGTATTATAATTATCTCTGAAGGTTTGTATACGAAATTCGGGCCCAAAATATTCGGCGTCTCAGCAAACCTGCCATATGTACCTCTGCGCTCGTGCTCTGGAATTCTAGTTGAAAGTTATTCTCAATGCAGCGCCTACTCTCGCTGCATTCAAGCATGACGTCGTGCTCTGTCCCCGCTAGTAAATCTGAAGAGCGTCGACAAAAATCCCAAGTGGCACCGTGCAAGGACCCTTTAAATCTCTAGATTGACAACACGTGGCGTCCACTGATTATTTGGTATACCCCTTTCCCTCCCGCCGACCGCGTGCGTCGATGACTACCTCTTACACTTTCAAGTTTGAAACGACAGAAGAATTTCTTTCCAAATTACTCCCTGAAAATAAATTGGATGATTGGTACCGTGGGCATTCGGGGGCGTAAATAACTACACGGTATGTGGTCCATTCTTTTTTTCCCCAGGTGACAAACTACCGCTGGGCATAACTCAAGTTCGATTATGCTCGGCTTGGTATTTAGCCGACGGCATCTCAGCAGCCGCCTTTGTTTCGTCCCCCGCAACCAACTGCCCACTCTTGGATCCAAACGCCCAACAATCTTTCATCCGTCTGGCCGTGGCACCAGATCTGCGTGTCGGCCCCGTGTTGATGTCGTTGATGTGAGTACAATAATATCTTGTAGAAAATAGGGGGCTCTCTTGCGGAAGACCAGCGGAGACGCGCGCGCACCAGAACATTTCATTGTAAGAGTTTAAAATGGATTCTAGGTACCTACCACTGCCAGGGCCAACAACGTCGCCGGCGGTGTTGTGCGTTTATGATAAACGCACAACACTTGCAGAACACTCACCCCGGAAATTCTGGTATTTCTCGCCTCCCAAAAACGTTTCTGAAACTTTTAGTTTCAGACGCGCTCCTGATACGTTTAGTTTAAGGTGCCGGACCGGGCCGGGCCGACAGGTTTTGGGTTGCCTGAAACTAAAGGTATCAGGAACACGCCTGAAACTAAAGGTTTCGGATTCATTTTTAGGAGGCCCAAAATGAGCCTTTTTACAGAGTGACTGCCTTCAAGTCATTCATGTTGCCATCGCCATCGGAGCCAATTTTAGCCTCGGCATCCAGGCCTGATACCCGTTTACCCTAGTCACGGTTCCCTCACTCTCTTCCCGCCCTCATTCTCTGCGCTGCGCGCCCTTTACTTTCTGACCTTCTTCTTTCACGAAACGTTCACGACGTCTTTTCTTCGCATTTCCAATTCGTTAAACATCTTTGTCAAATTCTTTCCACCACCTACTACGTAGCTCCAAAATTAAATCCAGGGTGCGTTTCATAGCTTTCAGTTCCTCCTCTCTGGACTGATAATGTTTCGCAGTCCTACATTCGTTCTGTAATATATGTCCCAAGCAGTTTCGGCGGGGTCCGATGTGGTGGTGGCCAGGTGTGTGGCAATATGCGCCCACTCGACTCGTCAATACTCATGGTCGATAGCGCCTCGATTCCCAATGCTAATGCAGTGGCGGCAAAGTGTGTGGCGTTAATCTCGCATGCCCTCGTATATCCTCATCGTGCTTTGTAGCCCGGTAACTCCTAATGCAGTGGTGACAAGGTGTGTGGGGATCTTCTCGCCCACGCGACTCGTGTGTGCTCATTGGCGATAGCCCGGCGAACGCTGCTGCGTCCCCCGCATTGCCGCCTATTGGGCAGCCACCGTTGAGCCTAACCCAGGCAATAGCGAGCCAGACAGCAGCGTCGGTTCCCGCAGCAGCAAATACGTTCTCGACATCCTTGACCGAGGTGGCCGCGACCTCTGCACCGGCTACCGCAAACTCCGTAACGCCCATCTCGCCCATCGTCACATCAGCGAGCTCGCCCGTGTCCGCCCTCACAACCCCGGCGACATCCGCCAGTGTCATTCCGGTTACCTTGCCCACAACGACGCCCGCAACGACGGACCCGACGGACCCGACGACGAGCCCCGGCGATCCCAGCACGTCGACCGTCACAAACATCAACTTCGTTTCCGCGTCCGGAACGTCGTCCGCCGCCAACGGCACGGCCACCTCGCTCGACGCCCTACACAACGGTGCCCCCACCTCGTGCGTCCTCTTTTGTCTCTCAAAATACCATTTTCTCACCGCTGTCCAGATTCTTCCAAAACAAAGCCGCGGTGGCCGGCGTCTTCTCCGCCATCGGCGTCCTGACCCTCATCCTCCTCATCCTCCTCATCATGCGCTGCGTCCGGCGCTCCCGCTCGCGCAAGTTCGACCGCGAGATGGACGCCGTGTCGTGGGTGCCCGACTCGGCGCGCAAGCTCGCGGAGGAGGACGACGCGAAGTCGAGCGCGGGGCTCAGTGTTGGGCGGTCGTACAGCCCGTACGGCGCGGGCGGCGGGCGCCCGGTGAGCCCGTACGGCGCAGGTGACGGTGCGAGCGCGTTCGCGACGCAGCGCCCGCTCAGCCCACCGATGGGCGCGTACGGGAGCTTTGGCTACGGGCACCCCCCTGCGCCGGCGCAGCAGCAGCAGGGGTATCCGTCCCCACAGCCGCAGGGGTACCCTCAGATGCAGTACACCCCGCCGTCGGCGCGCCTGGGCCCGACTGCGCCCCCCGTCGCGTACATGGCGGAGGGCGGGGGCGGGGCCACGCGGGCGCCGTTCGTGCCCGCGCAGGCGCAGAGGGCGCAGGTGTACTACCCCCAGGAGTCGGCGTACTCGCCCGCGAGCGCCA